TTCTTCACCGGTGCGCTGGCTTGTGCCCCACGGCTGGTTGGCGGCTTGGGCTTAGCCGCTGCGGCAGCATACGACCCGGCTGCGAGTGGAGGTCGCAGGAGCCTACCCTCCAGCACGTCGAAACGCTGCTGGAAGGCGGCCATCTCCCGCCGCATAAGGCCAAGAAGGTCGGCCTCCGCTGGCTGCGCAGGCTGGGATCGGGCTCCTCGAGCAGCTGCGAGCTCTGCTTTTGCTGCCCGAAGCTCAGCCTCCAGGGCAGAATTGGCAGCCGCCAAGCGTGACAGCTCCCGCCGCATTCCGGCCAGCTCTTTATACATAGCGGCCATCTGCCGGCCTGCTGAGCCCTGCTGGGATACCGCCGACATAATTGCGGCTTCCGCGTGTTTGAGCACTCCATTTCTGCCGGCCTGGGTTTTTTGCCCAGCCAGCATGCGGAGTGCTTCCTTGACTTCTTGGCGAAGGCTATCAGCGCCGCCTTCGCTTGCGGAGCCCTCACCAGCAGACAACTCCATCTCAGAGGAGTCCAAGGGGGCGACCTTGCCTAGGGCACTCCCTTCCGCCGCTAGCCGCTCAGTCGGCTCGCCTCGGCTGCCTGCCGCCCTCGGGAGGCCTTTCCCTTTGCCCCTACCGCGCGCAGCCGTGGGGATCTTGGGGGCCGGGGCCTCCTGCTCGTTAGAGGAGGGCTCTCGCCCATCCGCCAACCTGGGACGCTTGAACGTCCCCCGCGTTTTCTTCTGGCGCAGCGCTATGCTTACGCCAGACTGCGATGTTGAGTCAGACTCAGAGTCCGACTCCTTCCTGCCTGAGGCACGTGCACAGGATGCATCTAGCGCCTCATTTACGCTTGCAGGCGAGCTGACCTCGCTTGCGTTCTCCTCTCCATTGAGTGGTTTTTTATTTTTTAAATTTTTTGACATCTCCATAGAAGTCCCACGAGTATGGGGGAAATAAGCGGTCCACCCAGGGAGAGCCCCCTGTCCCTGGGTAAGTGTGCATTTGTCTCCCAACTAGGGGGTCCACCGGTCCCCTAGCTGGGGGTGCGCTCACGACTGATCCCACTCCTCAGCCATACATACCCTCGCCGCGCACCAGAACTTAGTATTGGAGGAATTTTTTATAGAGGTTATCTTCCTCGCGGTCCGGGCGGTTAAGCCAAGACCCTCGTCCCGGTCCGAGTCATAAAACATGACCATGATCTCTTCCCGGATTACGATATCGACGGGTGCAGTCGGGCGCAGCTAGTGCCCCGATGCTACTCATTGGCAGGGTGAGTGCACAACGAGCGCCGCCCTTGTTTCTCCGCCCCGCTCTCTGCTAGGTCCAGAGAGTCGTGCGGAGGGACGCCCCCACGGAGGCGTAGACTCTATGCCAGCATAGAGCCGGTCGCCTCTAGAACCCGACCGGGTTCTCCGCCCGGCCAGAAGTTCGCTGCGGGCGACAGTCAAACCAACCCTGTCACCATCCCGTTAGGGAGACTGTCGCCCGCACCCAGGGTGCACCACGGGGAGGTCTTCTGGCACGCACCCCTTACTGGGGAAGCTTGACGTCCTGTTTTTGTTCAAGAATTTAATGTGTGCCATGAAACATTTCTTTATGAATTCTATAGTGCTCTTTGTTATTTCTTTGAAAGACATAAAACCGAAAACATTAAAATAGCGATTAGGGGTCGGATGTCTCATCCATCGATTATAGTCGGAATGAAAATAATTTGATACTTAGTCCGATATTTTATTGAAAGTAAAACTTTTGTTTATAGCATCAAACAAGTTTAGCTAATAAAAAAAATGTAGTAGCTAATTATGTTTATTGGAACAACTTGATTGTTGGTCTTTTTTGCTTATTTCGTGATTCTTCGTAGACGTACACTTATGGAAGTACCTAATAGGTATAGGATCCTAGATATTAGAGCACTGTTATTTTTATGGAGGTAGATAAGCTGCTTTAAATTGTAGCAAGTTGAGTGAACCTCTGTCAAGATCTAAACATGTATGTGTCTATTCGCTATGTTTTAATCGATTAATCATTAACACTCACTTCTCAATAGATTGATCCTCTAACTATCTAGGGCCAAATAAGCGTTGTTGACTTTCTAGAAATAGGTTTATTTTTTATCAGTTTCTAAGTAATTTGACCTACCAGCAACCAAGTAGTGGAATTTCCGAAACTCCTATGTTCAATACAATAAGGCGATTGTAACAGTCGGCGCGTTGTTAATGTTAAATGAAGCGGCACACGAGGCGAGTTGGGTGATAATGGAATTTCTGGGAACAACCCTTGTGTCGTGGGGTGTGCCGCGGGGAGGGGTGCTAGGTTGAGCGGGGGCGGAGGGGGGGGTGCCGGGCAGCCTGGCGCGGACCATCCATCACGCTGCGGGGGTGCAATTAGGCGAAGTAGATGTGCTGACACGATCACACGAGCGAGCCCGCCAAGCTGCGCCGCCGATACGCATATACCACGCTCATCACTCGACGTTACACCAAATTATCTGTCTACATCGTTTATTGTCATCTAGTGCTATTAGCCTGCCCTGTAAAATATTATACTACCTTTGATTTTTTTATTTGTAAAATTATATACGGACCTAGATATACGTGGGTAACTCAGTAGGTAATTTTATTATCTTGTGTCATTACATTATTTATTAAAAGCAACTGGTTTTGTTAGAAGCTTAAAATAACAAATTAGTGTCCAAAAGCGTGGCCAAGGACAAAATCCTCTGCATAAATAATGTTTCTAAAAATGGTTAAAAGAATATAATTTATTTTTAATCTCTGAAAACAAAGGCTCATTTCAACATTGTCTAGTCGAGCCTGCATTCCAAACCGACAGACTCATAGTTTTCTAGTTATTACCCTTCGTTATCTATTACACTAAAATCCTTTAATAGCTTCCATTTAGCGGGGCCGAAATCGATGGATGTGGTGGTGGAGACGAAGGTAATGATAATCGGTTCGTTATGTTTAATTCCCATTAAAATTCGACAAAAAGTTAATGTCCATCCGGGCGATAGCGGTCTTGAGGAGTGGGAGGGGGGTGAGCGGCATCGGCAGCGCGGTAGCAGCCGCCGATTATCCGCCGATAAGACACAAAAACAACTTTTTGATTTATGAAAAAAGCTCGAGAGCCGGCTACCGGGCGCCGCGCGCCGCCCGCTCCTGGTTCGCGCTGCACCCTAGTGAAGTCACGTGTGTCGTCTACATCGACTTGTATTCTGCCCTATTAAATCGAATATTGTTTTCAATCGAATCATGATTTGCGGTGACGAATATTTTTAGTTAATTTTTTACAAATACCAATGTAGGATTTTCAGGTAAACTAGGTACCTATTCATGATCTTCCCTGGTGTGAAGGTTCTAACTGTAATTGTTACATAAATCTGTAACATACAAAATGTTTCGATAATTAAAACTAAATGGTTATTTAAGAAATAGTTAATACCTTAATACCTTCTTGCCTTGACCTCCTTCGTACGTCATTAAAGAGAAAAGCAGTTTTATAATGGAATACCTGAGAACGCAACATTGGTAATGAGAATTATTTAAATTGAATTTGTCGACAGGTGTTAAGTCAGACAGCACTAGCGGGGAGTCGACAAGTCCGTCCCGCGGCCAGATTTTGAAACATAAATGTAAATGAGTCGGTCGGCGACTTACAAAGACGCCGCCGCCGCATCTGCCTCGCGACTTGCGCTCAGCTGCCCAACTCTTTTATTAGCTACGCTTAATTTTGAATTAAAATAAAGTACCTAAAAATTGTATCAATCAATTTTTGTAGAAGACCTCATTTCTTCTACTTATAGGTATTGAATTAAACTTAAAATAAGGACAAGTGTACATACATTATGTATCTACTTACATACATATTTACTAGAAGTAGGTAGCTCAATAAAATATCTACTTAGTCATTTCATATTGTTACGAACATATAAGACTTACACACTACACTACACACACACTCATATCATATGTTAAACTTAATCAAAATGCACCATCACGATAACGTGGTTCATGAACATAAACAAATATTTCAATCCATATCCTGATTAGTGGGATTGGAATGAACTATTTCAATTTGTATGTTCGAAAAGTTCCCTAAGTTGTGAAGTGTATGGCGCCGCGCGGGCGGTCTAATGTTTGCACATCCTATTCTCTCTCCCTGTAGATGTTTGCACAAGACCTATCAGCTGGCACAAGTAGGTAAGTAAGTAGGTACCAACGCAAGGGTGGTACAGTTTTTTGTTAGTTTAATTTACCTCCATAACCATAGTGAAAAATGTTGCTAACGTTAATGTTGCGTTCTCATTTAAGTAGGTCTTATTTAGTGTAAGTTTTATAGAACTGATCAGTCAAGTGCACACTGAATTAAGGCTGAATATGGACGTCAGTGGTTGTCCAGCAGTGGTCGACAACAGGCTGATGATGATGATGATGATGATGATGGACGTCAGTATCTACTTGTCCGTAGGTACATAATGTTAAACTTCGACGGCATTATTACAAAACGAGGTTTTACTGTAGTCTAGGTCTAAACCATTGAGGCAACATTGGAATTTCAAATTAAATGCAGGTGAGAATAAGATTCAAAATTCTGGCTCAATAGTTTAATCCTAAAGATAAATCTTGATCTGTAATAAGGGGGCGTTAGTCAATTGTCAAAAGTCCCGGTAATTACTATTTTTATTTACAAGTATCTTCTTAAGTACATACCTACTTGCTTGCATCTGTTTATTTCTGGTTTAAGAATGTATAAAAACAATCTTTATGTTTGTATACGAAAATGTCCAAGAAACTTGAAATGATACTGGTACTAATTATGTACAAAATAAATAATTCCGATGGGTGTAATTTGTAGGTAAGTAGATACGATACGAATATATTAAGGGTGTATTAGAATATAATAAAAACAAAGAAACATATATTGAATACTTTTATTATAGTTTCATTAACTGACAGTAATTTCTATTTATAATAATTAAAAATTATATCTAATAGGACATACAACTATGATCGTTCATTAGCTAACAATTTGAAGAAGTATTCAACTTCTGTCACGCCATCTTCAGGGAGGTCTGTGCAATGTACTGCGTTGTGGACCAATGATGATCCGTATAACGCTCTAATTGACGTCGGATACAACTGGCGACAGAGATCCTGAAGTAATGATAAAAATACTATTATGACATGTCATTAAGTTTGTTTTGAAGGATTAGGTATCATGATTATGCAGTCTATTTTAAGAAACAAATAATTTATCAAACAACTTTACATCCTAAATCCTAAATTTTCGAAACCTTAATCCCCAAAATGTTTCTGGGTTTATCGGCCCCGCCCGATTGCTTACCGACATGTTACCGACTTATCACATTAAAAAATATCACAACACTAGTTTTCATCGACAATATTTCTTTATATGAAACTTCATGCACAGTGGGTAGGTACATAGACGGACTTAATGCATTACGCATATTCTGCCAGTCGAGCCTTGGGTGATACAGAAAATAGTAATAAGAGTGAATAGTAAAGAACGCTAGGGAAAAATATTTATTCTGTGTTACCGGGTCTCGAGGTCCACATAATTCTCTGAATGCACAGACACAGTTGTCCTTAGGATCGACAGATTTTATCTCTAAGGCAACACACTTGCCTTCTGCCAGATGAATGCTCATAGCCTGAAATAAATATTAGAGATTTTTTATCACTAAACCGTGAAATGTATGTAATGTATATTTAACAAGGGTGCGATTTTCATATTTGTTTTATAAGTAGGTATGGTGAAAACAAAAATTTTATGTAATAAGGCTTCATGTAGATGATGCTTATTGAACTGTCCTCTACATTCTTGACGTAACTTGCAAACAAGTATAGGAGCGTGTAGGTATCGGCATCATATTCTATTTTTTGTATGTGCTGAAAATCATTAAAGCACTTCTATCGCCCAGGGTGAGCCACGAGGGAGTGTCAGTCCCTTTTTCTGCTTTAGGCCAAGGCCGCAAGGCCTTGTTGTGCTAGCCCCGCAATTCCCGCTGTAAGTACATGGGTGCTGCAGGACCCCGCCTGAGGTGGTCCATTAGTTCTTTGAGGCGCGTGCTCCTATGCTACGCGCCATACGCTCTGGCATCGGCGTCATACCCTAGTTATAAGTTATAAGTTAGGTGCCTATGTTCAAAGATACAAACCTCATATTCAGGCAAGACTCCTTTGTAAACTTCATAAAATTCTGCAGCGTTAGACAATGTTACTGAAAACATGGCCATGGCCGTGATAGTAAACTTTCCAGAAGTTGTTATTTTTTCCAGGATAGCGCCGACGTTGCCGTCCAGTACGGCATGAGGTTTGATCACGCAACAAGTGCAGTTCTCGAATGTCGCTCTGTACGGGACGCGTGGCAAGTGCCCCTTTTCATACCCGAAGAATAACTCCAACATCTAGTTCATAATAAAGTTATTATTAACTATTTATTATTAGTATCTGCCCATAGCCTCATTTCTCGACTAACAGCCGAGGAGGCTAACGTTAGGTCGTTGGGTTAAGTACCGGATGCAAAAAGCAGTAGCAGTCATTCCCATCTCTTGAGCCTTGACAATCAGTATCTTGGGTTCCACGTTAGGAATGATTGCTTCCATTAACGGTGATACAGATTTTATTTATATCCTGCTCTTTTTTACGCCGCTCATGGACAAGTGCCAGCCTTTTGTGTATTGTATGTAATAGGTCGGCAAACGAGCATACGGATTACCTGATGGTAAGCAATCAGCGCCGCCCATGGACACTCGCAACGGAGGAGTTACGAGTGCGTTGCCGACGTTGGATTAGGGATTTGGAGATTTAGGGATTGAGGAGGGATTGGGGGAGGGGAAGGATTGGGCCTCCGGTAACCTCACTCACACGGCGAAACACAACGCTGTGGTTATTTCACGCCGGTTTTCTGTGAGGCCGTGGTATCACTCCGGTCGAGCCGACCCATTCGTGCCGAAGCATGGCTCTCCCACACTTAAGGTTTTGAGGATATGATGGAGATTAAAGATGGGAATGAGGAAGCATTATTAAATTTATTCTGTAAGGCCGTAGCATCACTCAGTCGAGCCGGCTCATTCGCACCGAAGCACGGCTCTCCCAGAACTAAAATATGTGTCAAAGATTACCTCATTAACGTCTTCTGCCGTGTTACACCCGTGGGCAATGTTTCGAAGCGTGTTTTCTCCGTATAAGTGCCTTAGAGTACCAGGCTCAGCATCAGCAGGGTCTGTCGCCCCTAAACAGCGCCGCCATTCCTTTATTGCATTACGTCCCACCAGCTCTATTCCAATCACTTCACCACTAGTCACGTAGTCAATTATAATTCTAAAATGTTTGTTAAGACTGATATAGATATCAAAAGGATATGGAAAAGCATTAAACTAATAAGTAAGTACTTCGACTTCCTACCTAAGTAAAGTTTGCAAATATTGTGTGAGTAGGTACTTGGGACAAAAGTAGGCTTTGGAATTAGTAAAACTTTTTGTTTCTTCCAGGATCCAGATATTTCTTACTACGTGTCTGTCTACTTACGGGAGCATACTACTTCCAGAAATGTGGTTGTAAAGTGCAATTGCGACTTCTTTGCTAATTTTTCCATTCTTCATACGAACTATACGGAATCCTTTTTTTGTTATAAATGTTATTATTTTTCCGTGTAAATTTGGTGGCACTGGTTTTATAAGGGCGAAAGTACTGCAAATGAATGTATATTAGCGAATCTAAGCAATTGGTAACTTGCATTATTTTCGGGAAATTCGTTCAAACTATCTAGTTATTGCAACGTGAAGCTTTTGAAACACTCAAATTCAGGTAGGTAGTATTAGTAGTCCTTGGTTGGTCAACTACAGACTGAAACTTAGCAAATTAAGTATAGATTGAAGAAATTCCCTAAATTACCTTTCGAATTTATAAAACAGTTTCTTCCGGGTAGCTGGTGCGCAATCTGTTATACGTAGCAATTTCGAAAACACATTTATTATATTGCCAATTTCCAACATTTCCAATCTGAGTGTCGGCAGCTGTACTCGACTTACAAGATTCTTCCCTTTTTTCGCGTCTATTACTTGACATGAGTTATCGAAAGGAAAATAATTTAAGACCAATTCGATTATTTTATCTGCCTCTTCATCATACATTTCGCATAAAAAAGTGTATTTGTCGAAATAGTCGTACACCTGCAATTGAACTTTCAGTTGAGCATTTGACTCCATGGTTGAAGTGAGTCGTTGAATGAGTTCACAAGCATGACTGCTGACCATAAACAAGAGGTCTCTCCTCTTGTTAAATTCTGGTCCAACTGCAACTGGAAAATCGTCAAAAGCCTTCTCCCGGCCGGGGAAGGCGAGAGAGAGAGAGTGTCAGACTCTCTTACTCACCAGTCGGGCGACGAGCTACCCTTACTTGCGTTTCACAGACCCGCGCTTACGGTGGCTGGAGATCATTTCTCGATCCCCGACGCCCGGAATATCGCCTACTGCGGTGGCTGAAGCGTGAGGAGGATAGTTCACGCGCTTCGCGTCCTCCTTTGCGAGCATCACTGCTTCGCAGAAAGAGGAGACGGCTTCCCAGTTCCTTTCTCTACAAACCATGGCCTCGACTAAGGCCGGGCGCGAGAGGTCGAAGCCGCCGGTCACAACCCCAAGGACACGGCGGTGCTCAGCCCAAGCAAGGCACACCGCCATCGTATCCTCAGGCTGGTCCTTACAATGACGACACTCAGGCGTTTCCTCCCGCCGGATCCGAAACAGGAACCTACCGAAGCTGCCGTGACCGGTAGTTAAGCACCTGCGTCACGTGGAAGGTGAGGTGCGAGCTGGTCGCCGCCTCAAATTCCGGCGCCATAGATCGCACGATCCCTTGAGCTGAGCCGCTTGAGCGTGGCCCCAGTCTGCTCCAGCTTACGAGCCAAACGTCGGAAATGCACCTGCTGTACGTTCCTAAGGTGACCAGTATGTGTTCTCTGGCCTACCGGTTACATTAAATACCCAGTAATCGGAATTGAACATGAGTGTTGTTTCTGGAAATGTTCTTAAATGGAATTTCGGTATTTACGAGCTGTATGTGAACGAGGCAGTTTTTAGAAAAGGATAATAAAGTAGGTAGAATTTTTCTAATTGTTTTGACTTACCATTGTGTACAATAACAAAATTAATATAAGTTCAATTAATTAATATCAAAAAATTGGCTAAACTAGTGTAGATTTATAATTGAAAACAATATAAACACAAGTGTCGTTGACTGATATCTATAGACAATGATGAAACATTTTTTGAGTTAATTTAAGAAAATAAAGTGAAATTACCGGAAATTACGAACCACATAACGTTTAGAGGATCACCTGATGACAATATTGATAATCTGAAGCTGAACCCAAATTAGTGTATATGTGCGTATTATGGCTTTAACATACATTATTTTTGTGTCAATCTTTAAAATGAAGGATAAATATTAATATCCGACGATACGAACGTGGTTTTATAGTCTGTTGTTGTCATTGGCACTGTCATTCTATAATTGACATTGACGTTTGATGATGTATGTCACATTCATATTGAAAGACAACCACACGTGTTGTTGGTTTGTAAAATTGAGGGTTAGGCTTACTTACACAAAATGGGTAAAATTAGGAAATCTAAACCTCCGCGTGCTAAAAGGAGCTTGGCCGCGGATAATAGTGACGAGGAAGAGCAACTGCCGGTAGACAATAAAGAAAATGCCGTTCAAACTATACTGGACCAGTTACAAGTGAGTTATATTAGTTACGTCCGCAGCATTTCACATTTTTAACTACATTTGCACAGATTTATGTATATACATGTAACATAAATGAAATGCGCTTGCACTATCTATTTGCACTGTTTAGAAGTCCGCTCCTAAGACTACTTACTGACTTTAACGTTTAAATCTTTTTAGGGTGCTGATATTGAAGAAAAATATTGTGGTTTACAAACTTTTGCCATGCTAATAGAGAATCCGGAAAACATACCACTGATTATAAATCGTGGGTTAGTTAAAATGGCGGCTCCTATGTTGCTTGATCCAGCTAGTTCTGTTAGGAATGCTGCAGCTGGTGCATTACGCAATATGTCTACAGTTGCCATGGAAACCTGCGATGCTATGATGGAGCAAGATGTTATGACTCCAGTGACATTCTACTTCCATGAGGTTTGTTGTGTAACAATTTCATAACACTATGTAACTTAAGGCTACACAATATATCTACTTTATGTGTACCTCAAAGAAACAGAAAATCTTTAAAACAATAATGATAAATTTTGTCCTATTAAAAACAAAGTGTTAACAAACTTTACTTTGTTATTCCAGCATGCAGAAAGTTGGGTACCTGATCCAAATTCTAAAACAAAAGATGAAGATATTGATACATTTATCCAGTGCGTCAATTTATTGTTGAACCTGTGTGAGAGTTCTGGTGAGCAAAATGTTGGAAATCATGATGAAGGTTTTTTTTTCATTAATATAGTTTCTTACATTATTATTATATCTGTTTTAGATCTTGCTGTAAAATACTTGGGCCAATCTAGAATATTAGACATACTTCCGCGTTACTTAGACCTTGGCACCTTCACTAGTGAGATTGTAACAGCAGTTTTACAATGTCTGTTTGTTGTTGTGGAAGACAATCCTGCAGCAATGGCAAAAATAAAGACAAATGCTGAAAAACAGCTGGAAACTTTGTTAGGATTAGAGGGCACTGATCCTTCAATATTACTAGTAAAAACACTAGCGGCAGGAGTGATTATCAATACATGTGGTGGCAATATTACTACATTACCAGTTGATTTTATAAGGAGAATAATGACTATATTAGCTAACACTCTGTCTGTAGACCACAGGCTCATCTGTAGTCAGCTTTCGAGCAATGTCCCCCTAAGTGATGGTTCGGGTAAGGTCGAAGCACCTAAAGGCAAAGCCGCACAACAGTTAGATAGTCAGATACAATCTGTGACACAAATGTTAACTGCACAACAAAGTTCAATAGAAATAATTGCCAACATTTGCTCATGTGAAGGTAAGAAAAAATTAAAACAAGTTTGGCTACTAAAACTTGATGTATCTTAGTTAGCGATATGTACAAAAATATTTACTTTATAGATGGTGATGATCAAGGCAATGATTCCTCTGAAAGTGATGAAGCTGATGAAGAACTATGTGGCAATGGTGATGAAGGTGTTCTTGCAGAAGACAAACTACCACCTGAAGTTTTAGAAGCTTTTATTTCTTTAGAAATTTTTGATAAAGTTTGGGCTAGAACACAATTGCCTGCACAGAATGTTATGTTAATATTAAAGGAATATGAAGGATCACAATTGATTTACAAAAGGTATACATTTTTAGATAAACTTTTATAAATGGAGTGTAGATAGAGAGAACTTACACCCAGTTCTTTAACTATTTTTATCATTTCAGATTATTAAGTTTGCAAACTCGAGCTCTCTTATGCGTAAATAATTTATTATCCACTATTCCAATTGAAAATCTTGGTGGTGTGAATGGTGTCTATAAAATTTGGGTGGATACAGGAAAATTAGCATTCAAACAAGACTCGGAAAATGAAAATCTTTCGGAATCCGCTACAGCAGTTATGAGAGCAGCATTAGACAAAATAAAGTTTAGAGACAATGGTAACAGCAGTGACTGTAACCTATTCAGTGATTTGGCTTTGTCAGATATTGAGGTAAGATCATTTTTGTAATGGTGCAAGTACTGGTTGGAATTCCCAAGGACACATTTTAGGTCCATTTAAAATAATGATGATAGTCTCATATATACTTTTGTGTCATAATGTTTTCTACACCACCTTATTTATTACATAAAATAAATGTGTCGTAATTTTGTTTCAGCTAATGCTTACAGGTATTAAGGAATGTCAAGTACCAGAGATAAGATCAAACCTAATCCGTATGGTTGGCATCCTGGCTTTACTGTTAGTCAATAACTTGAATGACGTCACTGGCAATGTTATATGTACCATAACAGAATTTATATTGGAACAAGCACATAAGGAGAATGAAGTTTGGGTTCTGGCTGAAGCTATAGACACTCTTGTTGATCTATACTCTGAAGATGAAACTGATGTTTTAGCAGCTAAAGTTAAATTGACTGACAAATTAGCCATTCTAGCACCAATATTAAAAAACAAAGTAAGTTTGATGGAAATCCTAATACAACTACTTATTTCATTAAAATTTATCCTAGCTTTTCCATTCAGTTATTAAAATCTCGAGTCTTCGAATGGTGAACAAGAGTAGCTCGCCCGCCCAGAACCAGACTCAGACGTATGGCGCGGTGCGTTGAGCGCGTGCCTCAAAGAGCCAATAGACCACCACAGACGGGGCCCAAAAGGGCTGATGTTCAGCCTAGGTTGTAGAGCAAGCGCAATAAGGTACCGTGGCTTCGGCCTAAAGCAGGAGCAGGAACAGGGCGGTTTTTAGTCAGTAAGAGTTTGACACTCCCTCTGGCTCCACTCTAGGCGAGAGAAGCAAAGGATTAGAGATTTTCCTTCCTTAAAAAAAGTTTCGTCAAACTGCAATGACTAAAATTATTGTTTTAATTTCCAGGCTAGGCAACAGAAAAGACTTCCAAAAGAATACAAGGTCCTCGTCAGCACTGCAACATCCAACTTACCCAGATTTATCAAGTATAAGAAAGATAGAATAAGTAGGCTATAAGTGTTCGTTTTTTCTCTGTAGTAAGTATCAATATGTTGATATATTTAAAATATTCTATGTTGTATCCCGTGATATACATATATTTTTACAAGACATATTAATCATTGTGTTTCATTCAATGAACCTCTTATTATGACAATGAAACTACATGGAATCAATAGAATAATAATTTATTAAACAACAATGTCTGAACTAACAAATAACTAATCCCATTGTGAACATTTGTATAAATAATTAGGAATTTTGCACACAAAATTACAGTGTACTGTCACCATTAACTGTTACAGGTAAATTATTACTATTTCTTACAACAGTATATATTCCACGCGACGGTGACTATAACGCAGTACAAACAAAGCAACATTCAATACAATAATAAAATATTTATCACAAATAAATTATGCTACGCCGCTAAAAATTCATAATATTTTATGGCAAAACAATTTATTTTCCGTCATTTACGTATTTATATCGAAGGCACTAGAATTTTAGTTAAGCATTTATTTATTATGAAACTGCGTCGTCACTATACCTAGTTCAATCCCCTTTGCGAATGTTTGAGATCCTATTACGTCTAAACCACGTTATTACCTAAAAATCACATGTTACAACACATCGTACTTAACTACTAAATACTAGTAAAACTCGACTCGTTCTAGACACGATGACAAATTATTTTAATTTGTATTATGTTCATTGTGTGTATAAATATATTAGGGCAATTTTCTACAAATACTAATAGCTAATACGTTGTTTGTTTATTGATATGATAAGAATAGTATAAATATGATCTACTTTTTTAATAGCAAACCCGCGTACAAAATACGAGTTTGGCAAAATAAAATGGTTCCTATTTTAGGGTCCACAGTAAACAGCCATATTTAAGTTTCATTTGGTTAACATTCATGGTCTCATGGAGTAGTGGAACCCCCTCCGTAGTGACTTCTCCTAGGCTTTGGTATCGGGTTTGGTGATGATGCATCCTTTTTATCGAATCTTCGTTTTATTTCTGACACCGACAGTCTTGTTTCTACACTTGGAATATCATCTTCATTTAAGGCGGAATTCAGTTTATTTATCTCTCTCTCGAGTTCTCTAGTAGCTCTGTCTATTTCTAAAAACTCTTTTTCTGTACTTGATATAGTTTCAATGCTCTTTTTCGTTTGTGGATCTTCATAAAGTTTGCATACAACTTTCTGCGGCGCGTCGTTACCGTTAGTGTTCATGTGCACGATGTTCTCATTCAAGTTGATGTCGTATGTAGTGTAAGTCGTGTCCAAGGCATTAGTAAGACTCTTACTTCTTTTATTATTAAGCGTCTGGAAGTCCTCTAAATTACCTCGTCGTAATCGTATGTCGTCTTCATTAACGCTGGAGTTACGTCTGTATGTTACAATGTCTATTTTAGGAAATGCGGCTGAGCTTAGGATGTCTTCTTCCGATGAGCTTCTAAGTGTTACATCGTTTTCTTTGGATTCAGTAGGTGTCGTTTCTTTGTTTACCACTTTTTCCGTTACAGTAACCGGAACCTCAGTATTATTATTAACTGCATCAGGACTCTTTGGCTTATCGTCTATAGATTCTGTCTTGTCTTTCACGTCTTCATCTTCGACTATTTTGAGTTCAATATTCAAGTTCATGTTTTCTAATTCTAAATCGCCATCAGTATTATTCAATTTCTTGTCCTCAGTTTTACTTATTTCTGATTCCGAAGTTACACTGGTCACCTGTAAAATGTCAAAATCAGTTGAGTTAAAATTTGGTCTATGTTGGGTCCTACAGTGTTAGAATCGTGAAGAATACAGACAAATAGCGGTGTTCAGTAAATAATATTAAACGAAGCTTTGAGTACCCTTTAACCTTTATTTAGTATGTTATGATATTAATAAGTGTATGAAAACTTCTATGAAGTAATTCAACTGTTTCATAAACCATTCAATACTTCTGTTACACGTGTGCTCATATAGCAGTGCAAGTGTAATTTTCTGCGATTAGACAATAATATCACCGTATTTTGTGACACCTTTTGTGAATTCACCAGTGATCTGAATCTGTAGAAATGTAGTTTTATTGCTCTTGTTGTGACTCACTGGACGTCTCCTAATTTTGACAAAATCAAACATCGTACTTAGCATTTGTACCAATTTGAAATTTTATATAAGTTCACTTGCGAATAAAGTCGGGACCGATCCGACGATTTCAACAGTTACTTTTTTATTCTTTATAACTTAGACTGGGGTACTAAGTAAAGAACTGATCTTACCGTTGTATCAGCTGACTCAGGAGTGGTGTAGATGGGCCCAGGCGGTAGAGGAGCGCGCTTTTTCTTACGTCTTGAGGCGCGGACGGGAGGAACAGGACCATCTTCATCGAAGGGGTTTGTACTTTCCACGCTCAGTCGAGACCCCGAGACTTCGCTTCGGGCCAAGCGGGGGGTTGTACTGGAAATTTAAAACGCAGATATAAGTAGACCATTTTGCCGAAACGCGTCCTCAGATTAAGATATCAAAAATAACTTCTTTCACATATATGGTATCATGTTTAGTAGGTTTGTTAATTTTAATATCAGCGACTGTATTTATGCGTGCGTTGGCATTGTTGAATTTACATAGAGCATGTTGTTTAAGTAATATTATTGAAATTGTATTAAGTACTCCTTAGATGCTTTGAGCATTTTCGGTAAGGATAATAAGAAGGAGATATCTGTGGTGTTATATTCCTTAGAAACAGGGTATCTGTCCTATAGGTAATAGACACAATAAATCATAAGGAAAATACTTAAGATTTTCCTTATCGACTTCAAAGGTTAAGGTTTTATGCACATTAGTTTATAACTAGGTTCATTCTTCTTAAGCAATACCTAAGCTAAAGTCACATGGTCATGGTCACCTTGTATTTATATCTTAGCATTGATTAAGTCCAAAGCTTAATAATAATTGTGATAGGTACGATAGCCCACGTTTGTATAAAACTATTTATGCAGCCGTTTTCTGAGAACAATTTATAAGCGACGGTAAGCGATACGCATGTACCATCTCTTTTTATGGGCCCCAGTCTTGGGTTGAAATCATTCGAGCCGTACCTAAATCAAACCTATATATTATACAGTTTTATACATTATGTCTTACTCTCGATAGTTATTATCATGCAAATGTGATTTATTTGTATTAAAATCGAAAAATGTGATAGAATGGATTTGAAAAAGACAGTATAAACCTTTTATCAGTGTGTTTGCCTGGAGATGATAAAGCGCGAATTGCCAAAGAAAAGTTCATAGCTACCTTAGTGATTGAACTTCATGGTGGCTGGTACTCCTCAGTCGCTCTTGAAACCGGGAGCGAGGCAGTGGTGTAATGGAACCACCATAGATGTAGCGATCTGGAGACCCAACCGTACTTCGAGCGCCTGTTGTCGACGCTGTGGAATCTGGAACCCATTAGCAATTCAATTACTTATAGGAAAAAGGTCTGAAGCTTACAGGCCACTGGATTCTAAGTAGGCACATTATACATCAGAGGCATCATAAGTGCGTTCCGAACCTGTGCCGATTAGGTACGCCATTATTTTTGGGAAGGCTGAAGTTGTCCCCGAAAATATGGCGCAACCACAAACTTGTTAACATTTAACAAACACGACTTTAATGGCAGCATATACATATTTGCCCAGTAAGTTGTACTTATCTTTGTTAGTATAATGTGCATAGTACTTATTGTCAACTGTAGGTACGTAATACTTCAAGAGATGTCAGTACTATTCGTTCTCTGTTCGGTACAATAGGACTTATGACATAAACTAAGTCACCTAAGAATCTATAAGTATATCTACCTACTATTGTATGATAATGCTTACATTGCAGAGCTCTCCTGTAGATAATAGGCGAAGGTTCCCCATTTAACTGATTGTTGCTGGAAGATTTTTCTGACGAATTCTGTTGCTGCCCCTTCTTTCCTTTCTTCATAAAAGACCGCAAGGACCTGGAAAGTTATAATGAACGTTTTAGATAATGATCTGTGAGACGATGTTCCGTTGGTGTAATATTCGCTATTCAGGGTCTTGGGGGTAACAATGACATTCAAAGTAAGACTGTTTTAATCTTACTTCAGTGTGGGTAAGTGAAAGAGCTATACAACTTGTGTAGCTCTGTCTCTTACTTTACTCGAACGTCATGGTTAGCCCCCTTATCCTTAAGATTCTTAGCCGGGGTTGGGCGGTAAGCGCAATGAGGCAATGAGGCACCGCGGCCTCGGGTTTTTAATCAGTAAAAGTCTGACATTTTCTCTTATGACTTATACACTTACATAAATGACTTCTCCCAGGGTGAGGAGTTCTGTTAGTTAAGTCTAGACTTGACGGGAAAGATTGTGAAAATAATTTGGAGTTGCCTTACGTACGTTATACATTTATAATTAGAATGCATGTCGGCAGACAGCCTGGTCTTTGTACCTAACAGAATAATATGTTCCCGTTATTATCGTGAGACGTCGTGGGAACCCGCATCCAGTAGATTAGTGCTCAAAGAGATGAATACAGTACTAGTTAATAGTTATTATGGCAGGAGTTCTCACAATGCTGTTAACGGATGTCTGTAGGCGCAACACACAAAAGTAATAGAAGTTTAGTGCACTTGATTCCACTTGAACGGTCACAATTGTGCCGTGACGGCCGAATGACGGGTAACACTCGCCCACCGACTTGAGCCATTGTGCTTTATTCGCTTCACAATGCCTAAAGATGTTGCATATTATCTATTTTGAGGGGTAAAAATCATCAAACGACTTCTGGGAGGAGAACGAGAGGGAGTGTCAGACTTACTGCGAAATACACCCAGTTCCTTTTCCTGCATTATTGCGCTTGCAAGATTTTGCATGTCAATATTTGCATAGATTACAACCATAAACGCAAAGGACAATGATTGGAAATTATTATACGATTTACCTATTCTAAATTTTGTGTCTTTTTATTGAAAAGGCCAAATAAATTCGGTAAGTTACTTCTTAAAAGCTTTAGTGCGACAATTGAATGCTGCACTGCACCGTATCTATATCCTACACCTTAATAGTATGTAAACACACGGCTCCGATTTGGGGCAAGAAAAGGAACAGGGTCGTTTTTAGTCAGTAAAAGTGTGACACTTCCTCTCGCCCAATCCGAGAGAAGACATTCGGTTTGGATTTCCAAAAAAAGGCCAACTATGTTCACTTTATTTATTCAATAAAACCAATTTTATATCTATCAGCATGTCCCGTTCATTCCGATAAACGCGAATCTTATATAGAGCATCGATAAATATTTTTATGAATCAGTTTTATGGATAATTCCGATAAACAACCTCGACCCAGTCGGAGACTGTTAACTGTTAGTGTTTAACTCTGTAAACAGTCAGTCGTTTGCTATCTCAGTTACGACTTGTAAACAGACAGACTGCGTCTGTATGACATTAACTCTCCTAGGTCACTCAGATAAACTGAGATTTGCATGACCTGCACTTGAACTATGGACGGCGAATCCTTTATATGCAACTCATTTGATTCGTTATTGGATTTAATAAGTTCGTATCTTTAATTGTAAAACAATGGCGCTAGTGTAGATTAAGATTTCTGTAAGGGGAAAATCATCCAATGACTTCTCCCACCCCGGGTCGGGATGGAGTGGATCATAGTCATAAAAGAAGGAGGAATGATCAAAATTGTTTTGTTAGATTCTGTCATACAGACATCTTATTCTAACTTTTGTTGGTACCTACATACCTAAGAACTCATGTATTTAATATTTGCATTCTAAGGTGACCTGTTTTCGACACTTTCGATAATAAAATATCAAAGTAACTTAGGCACCTGTTTACACCCACGATATCTATATTTGCATGGAATATTACCTACTCGTATCTACCCTTACAACATTTATAAAAAGTAGAATTGCTTTAACTTATACACATAGGTAGGTAATTGTGGTACCTGCATATGAATGGTTTGAATATCTCTTTAGGTACCTAAGTAAAAGCAGTGGGACTTGGCATTATTATAATTATTTTTTGTGCATAACAAATACAGGTAGGTAGGTTCTTACACGCAAAATAAGCGCATCACCATACAAAAAAAAAATATAAAAATAAATAAGTACTTAAGTATTATGAATGTTATTATTTAATTCAAGTGCAAAAATAGCATTTATGATGTTAAGAATAAAGATGAAAATAAATATTCAGTATAAATGCTGAGGTGAAATGGACCCAAGGCAACGTAACTTCAGCTGACTTGGTACTTAGTCAGCTACCAACAAGGAACATTTTGTTGTCTAGGAAAACTTTTATATCATCCACTATAACTAGAATATGTAGGTATATACCCATACTTATGTACTCTGTGAGAGATGAATGGACCGACATGGAGGTCAATGACCCGCTTTACCGCATTAACAGGTGAGATTGTACTTAGACAATGAAACGCGCCTTATTTGGCAGGGCCTTATTACGCAATATCCTCATTGTTAGTCTCTGTTATTATTCTTGCGAACATCCTTCTTATGACTGCTCTACCTGCTGCCTTGCTTGTGAACCTTTGTTATTTTCGACCAGTTTTATTAGTATCATAAAAGCTCTTAACAAAAATTTTTAAATATACTTCTTAAGATTATTTAGGAAATAAATATGTCCACGAGTAGACTTGGTTAGTCTGAAACCACAACTCAAAACGTGACAAAATTACTTTACATATTTAGGGTTATAACTTTCGAGCGACGGGCATTGCTGCTCATGAGTATAAGCCCCTAGCGTAGCGTGAAACTAGTCGAGTTCCCCATCAACCGGTTATCTACTTGCGTGGGCCGTAACTCGTAATACTTACTTAACATATTATGTGCATTAAAATTTTAACTGTTATATGCAACTTTTTACACAATGAGGGCTTAATACTTCCTATTCTTTAAATACTAGAATTCCACGTGATCATTTTTGCATCAATCATAATTATCAAACGGGTAACTTGTCATAAAAACGAGACGACTTGATTTTTTACACCAAATGGTTTTTTAAGTGCAATATTTGAAATACACTGTAAGTAAATAAGTGTTTGAGGTTAAATCAAGGTGAGTGTGGAAGATTATCTATTGAAGGTATACATACGTATGTTTATATATAAGTAATATGAACATGAAGGTGCACGTAAGTATGTTAAGATTCACCGTTTCCCAAAGTTTCGCCGGGTCGCGACCGAGTCATTCAAATTAAAGGTTGCATGTTTCCACATTGTTTTACCAATATTTCCTAATTTAAATGTATAAACCACTGAGTCTCATTACTTAAACCACAAAAATTTGGATTTTTATTCTAATTTTTTAGTACCGGCTGATGACGAAAATTATATTTAAATGTAGGTATACAGTATTATTTCATTAGTCCTGGAGCCAGAAACAAACCTCGATGTAAAGTGTAGGAAAAAGAAAAGTGTAGCAATTATTGGGTCGCAACAGAACAAATATTTGGGAAACATTGGTTTAGATGATTGGCAACAGACTGGAGTCGAACCAATAACATTGGCACGGAAATATAAACAAAAACTAGCTAAGTGCACTTTACCTTGTGCAGTATTGCAATTTTGTATTTATTCTCGTATAAGTACTTGTGAATATATTGCAGTGCGTTTAATTCTAATTGGTTGCTACATAGTAAGCTTTGAGCTAAGTAATAAAATATTGCATCGGTTTACTACCAAATTGCGAATGTTTAAAAGTGGTGTTTGTACACATTCACGAGAATGACTCTTTGATTTGTCTGCCATTAAACTTAAGAGTAAAAAATATTTAAAGAAAAAGAGAAATTGTTATTGAATAATTAATATTTAGTGCCTACACGGTAAGCGCAGTGGCTGGGCAACTGGCAGTTGTGCAACAGTATCGCGAGTTCGACTGACGCACAGAAGCACAGAACGATTCCTTGTGTGATCCACAAAATATTTTATGAGGTCTGGGTGCGATGTGCTGATGATGAATTTCTATTTTTGGAAAAGTACCTACTCAAAACACAGGAGAAAATCCTAGTGTTAAAAAAATCTCAGATCTACAAAAATTAAGACGGGCCTAGTCCTCGTTGTGTAACCCACCCTTGTGTAACCAAAGCCACATTTAGGTACTTACCTACCTAAAATGTTTTATTCGAAAAAAATCCTTCGTTTACATTTAAACGGAACATACAAATAACGAGCGGAATAATAGGTACCAGTATTATATTGAATTGCATTAAACGTGATTTAAGTTAACCAAGAACGCAGGGGTCAAAACCACAATTAATTTATGACCAGATTAGATTGTGTCGTGTATAGTCGTATCAAGAGTTTATATCGTGGTATGGCATTAACACGCTCACATAGAATTAAAGTATCTACCTACCTATGTTATTGTATTTAACCGTTTTAAATGCAGACATACCTACTTATCCACGGTTCATAGGGTACCTACTTTTTCTCTTAATATAGATTAGGTACTTAGATAATGTTAGGTACCTAGTCCCTAACTACCTTTGTCAGGCCTTATAAACAGGCGTCTTATAAACTGATATGAAAGTTTTTTTTATGATATAATTCGGCAAACAAGCTAACAGATTACCTGATGGTAAGCAATCAGCACCCAAATCGACACCCGCAGTCCCTAAGGAGTGATGAGTGGGTTGCCAGCCTTTTAAACGGTAGGGGAGGGGGAGGGATTGGGATTGATTGTGAGGTTGTCGTTGTAGTGGCTGGGCAACGAGTTCGATTCGGAAGAACGATTTATATGTTCGTATAAGCTCCCACGATACAGCCCAAAATATTGGTATTTATAACGCAATGGTTAAAGAAAACAATTTAAATAAAAAAGTAGATACACACAAGGGCCAAGGTATTGATGGAAGTTTTTTACAATCTTCAATTGAATTTGCTTACGCTATGTAGGTATATAGGTAGTGATATCATTTATTTTCATTTAAAAGTTAATGGTGTGATCG